GGGACCATCTTCAGTCTCCTGTTTTTCCATCTTGGCCTATTTTTGGCCGTAGATGTTAACTTTACCTCTAGAGATGCTAGGCTCTATATCCATCTCCATATTCCCTGTGGGTCAAGGCCCTTGGCTGCCAATCTTGTCAGAAGTTGCTAATCTTTTTAATATTTTGGCCTCCTGGTGACTAAGTGCCACCATCTGGCCTGTATTACTTGGGAGAAGGGGGATATCATTCCCATAGTTATTAATCAAACCCAGCTCTGTTCCAACCCCAGACTGTTCCTATGTCAGCCCAGACTGCAGAGAACATCTTGGTGATGCTCTTGCCCCTCACCTGAAGATTTCTGACGGCCTCAGTGAATGGTGTGTTTCCTGGGCCATCCTGCGGAACATAATCCTCTGATGGGTCCTCTGGCCTCACACACACTGCATGCCCACTTCCCTGTCTTTTTATTCATTCTTCTACTACATGCCAGGGCAACTGAGACATTTCTACTTCACTCAGCATTGGCCATCACTTTCTCTAGGTTCCTAAAAGCCCCCCTGCAGTTTGTTTCATCCCCAAGGGTTTTTGCTATGGTGTTAAATCCTGTGCCTCCAGAAAGTGCTCTTAATTCAATGAATTCCTGATTATACAGTCTTATAGTCCAGCCCCTTTGATCAAGCAACCTCAAAATTCAACTGCAGGATACTCTCCTGGCTTCTGTCTGTATATGCTAGCTAATTCTTACAGCTCTTTGTATATAATCTCTTTCCTTCTGTATCAGGCCAAGTATGTTATCAGCTGCGTTTCACTAGGATTTAACTCTAGGTACTGCCCTGGCAGCCAGTAGGGGAGGTAGGGACAACTTCTATGTTGCCTTGTGAGGCAGTGGCTCTGCAGTGTCTTTCAGCATGAAGGGAGTAATAAGAAGAGGTAAACCACCTCTGCAAACTTTGAGAGTTCATGCGGGGCTTGCAGAACTAACATCCTAAAAGATGTCCATTCAGATGCATTATCTCGTTTCAGGTTTTCTCAGCCAGAGCCCTGACCTGTTGCCTCTCTGATGTCCTGAGCTTAACTGTCAGCTCTTCCACTACAGGAGATAAAAGCCTCTTTGAAAGTTGCTAAAGAGGCCCTCTGTCTCTCACACTTAACCATTAACCAGGGGAGAACCCTTGCTTTCTCCTTATTCCTTTCCAGAGTGTCACTACAACCTGGCAGTAACCAGTAGACTCCACTGCATGTTTCTCCCCCAACCCCCATGTATTTCACATGCCTGAAATTGTACCTGCAAGGACTTTCTCCTCCAATGGGATGATTTCCCAGGTTGTTCTTAGCCGCTCAGTTGTGTCCAGCTCTTTGTGACCCCGTGGATTGTAGCTCACCAAGCTCCTCTGTCCATGGGGATTCTCCAGACAAGAATACTGGAGTGGGTTGCCATGTCCTCCTTCAGGAGATCTTCCCAACCCAGGGATCGAATCCTGGTCTCCCGCATTGCAGGCGGATTCTTTACCGTCTGAGCTACCGGGGAAGCCAGGTTACTAATGATTAAACCTTTAGCAACTAGATCACCAACTGTGTTAGTAACTACCCATGCCCCTACACTACTCAGGAAAGCATCATCTCTGTTTACAAGGCAGTAGGTGTGCCAGTCACATTTTCTCGACTTTCTATGTTTTCTTGGACCTCTCCTGGTACCACCTGTGCTAGTTTGGGCCCTCTGAGAGGCAGTTGCCAAACTGTGATTTGACAGGTACATTAGCTAGGGCTGGGTGGCTTAAACAATAGAAATTTATTTCTCACTCTTCTGGAGGCTAGAGGTCCAAGATCAAGATGTCAACAGGTTTGGTTTCTTTTGGGGCCTCCATCCTTGGCTTGTAGATGGCCACTTTTGCAGCATGGCCCTTCCTCTGTACACATACCCCTAGTGTCTCCTTATGTGTCCAAATTTCCTCTGCTTTTAAGCAATCGGCCAAACTTGGTTAGAGTTCACCTTAACAGGTTCATTTTAACTTGTGTCTTTCAAAGACTCTTCTCCAAATACAGTCACATTCTGAGGTACTGTGGGTTTAGGGCTTCAACATATGGATTCTTCAACATATGGATTTTGGGGCTATCACAATTCAACCCATAACAACATGCAAGATATTTATTAGGGGAGCTATCTGTCAAAGATAAAAGGGAAAGGAGAAGGGAAGGTGGGAGAGTCTGCAAACTGTGACTATGAAGTCACATACCTGACATCTACGCAGAGAAAAAAGAAAGGATTGAGTAGGCAGGTCTCAGACTGCAGCACAAACTGAAGAAACTCTAAGTTAGGCTGATGGGTCCTTCAGTCAAAACTGCCCATCAGAGGAGTCCCAAATGTTACATCAATGAAGCACATTAGCAGCCATGTGCAGTCATTTATAAGTTAGACAACTATAGGCACATAAAGAATTCCGTTTAGGGACCAGTTCTTACTGGTTTCTTTGCGTAGTGTTTCCAGTCCACTCTGGCTATTCTGCCACACTTTATTGTGCTCCAGGACCTCTGTGCCTAGCTCTCCAAGATGTTTATATATCTTTCTTATTTTTTGAGTCCAGCTCATTCTCTCATGTTTACTTCATTCCTGTCTTCTATGGCTTCTTTATTATTTTTTTTCAGAGGGATATCCAGTTCAACTTTTAATGAAACATTTATTGAATGGGATTGATTATGGGCAATAAACTACAGTAGGTGCTGGATTTTTATGCCCTAATGGTCCACTTTCTTGGGAGAAAACAAGATGTCGCTTCTTATCCACAATGAGAGCTACCCACAGCTTCCTTTCACTTATGATATATAGGGCACAAGCACATTTACCCTGAGAATTCCACATTCAAATAATTTTTTGAGACATTCACCATAATATTTGATATTAATAAGGGCTGCAGAGCACCCGGCATTCCTGGGTGTTCCGGAAATAATATTATGCTTGAAGTGAGCTTCCCCGGTGGCTCATCGGTAAAGAAACTGCCTGCAATGGAGTTCAATCCCTGGGTCTGGAAGATCCCCTGGAGAAGGAAATGGCAACCCATTGCAGTATTCTTGCCTGGGAAATCCCATGGACAGAGGAGCTTAGTGGGCTGTAGTTGCAGTCCATGGCGTCGCAAAAGAGTCGGACAGGACTTAGTGACTGAAAAACAACAACCTATTTAGGTACACAGGTAATATTTATTTAGGTATGTATAAATAGTTAGTATATATTAATTTCAAAAGAACTTCACAAGAGAAAGCATAATGAACTTAACTAACATTTTGTAATAGAAAGGCCATATTAAGCTGACCAGAAACCTGAAGGATACCATTCTTTCGCAGGAATCTAAAATGTGCCTGAGGATTGCTCTTGAAATTTCTCCTGTTTTATCAGTGTCAAACTTCTGATTGGCGAGGGGCCACAAAACAAAATTCCAATTGAACTCATGAGGGAAGGACATAAAGGATGGGGAAAACATATCAATACTCAGAAGGCTTGTTTCTACATTTCCCTTACCACTGAATTGCCCTGGTCATTTACAAACCTCTGAGGCCAAGTTAGGAAGTTGAGAGAAACAGGCCTGGAGAGGTTGAGGCCTTGACCAGTGTTATATTATTAACCAGAAAGGGAACTCTGGCATTTCTCTTTAAGTCATACACCACCCACTAAATGACTTCCAAACTGGCTATCTTTCTTGAACATATAATTCATTTACAGTCTTTCTATGAAGCTGTGAGTATGCTCTCCTACCCTTTGGGAAGGGAAGTTGGAAAAACAAAAAAGACACTGCTGCCAGTTAATTCATGGATAATAGAAAAAGCAGTGAACAATTTGAATCCCAGATCCAGAGCTTTGGGTCACTAGGTCGAAAGCCTGTAGTACTAGTGGCTGGGGGGTAAGAATGGAAGTCCCCTACACATGAATGAGTTTCAACAGCGTGTTAGTAAGTCCAACAAAGTTAGCCTAAGCACCCAACTAACACAATCGGCTATATAGTACTGTACTATAATAGGTTTATAATACTTTTCACACTAATATATAAAAACAAACACAAAAATAAAACACTTTAAATCTTATGGTGCAGTACCTTGAAAAGTACAGTAGTACCAGCTACAATCACCACTGCTTTAACTCGCTTCAGGTTATCTTGGGCTTGAAATAAAAATACTATATTATTGTACTCTATATAGTAAAAAAAAAAAAAAAAGCAAAACCACTTGTAAAGGACGCACACACGTGCCGATGTATGCCAGACATGTGAACTAACTTAGGTAACTGGACATGCGAAGGCACTTCCCACCTTTGAAAGTTTGCAACTTTCAACTTAGAAATTTCCTATGTAGGGGACTTACTGTAAAATTACCTTGGCCATGGGGAAACTTCAAGACTTTCCTACCAAGTAAAACTCACCAACTTTTCTCAACAAACGAGCCATGGGAATGGTGGGCTAAAGTGAATGGACTAGCTCACAGCACCGGTTAAGACGCATCCCATCATTTCCCAAGTTCAGTCCTGGAGGTAGTCACAGCACAAGTGTGCGCCGGAGCCGGAAGAGCGGGGAATACAGCTAACAGCCGGGCGGGTGGGAAGCGAGGAGAGCCTGGGACAAACGCTCTCTGATAGGGACCCATCAAACCAGGGTTCAGACAGTCTGGCTCGCCATAAAATTCCCCAGTTGACAATCTTGGGACGGGTTCACAACAACTCTTAAAATGTAAACTCTCACCACACGCTTTCAGTTCCGAGCGCCCCTGGCAACCACGGGCGATTTAAAACGGAAGAACGACCTTTGTCCCGCCCTCCCTGGGCCTCCGGGTTAGCTCGTTGGCCCAATCACCTCGGCGGGAACTCCGACCAACCAATAAGAGACAGGGACGGGAGGGCGGGCTGAAGAGGTGGCGAGCGCACGCGCAGCTGGGAGAGTGGTCCTGGCTGTGTGGCGGTGTGGGTGAGTTGCTTGCAGGTGGACTCGTGTTGGCTCTAAGAATCCCGGAGTAGCCAGTGCCGCTCTCTCCTGCGCTTACCATGTTTCTCACCCGGTCTGAGTACGACAGGTCTGTATGGCTGGGGGGAATAGGTTCAGGTAACGGGTGGGCGGACTCGGGGCCCGGTCTGGGCCTGGGTTCTGCCGTGTCATCGGGGCAGCCCCACGAACCCAAATTCTGGCCCAGCCAGGGGGTCTCCTCCCTTTCCCAGGCGTCCGCTGTGTTCCCCAGGCTAGATTTGCGGCCGTCGGCCTCAGTTGTCCTACCGCTGAGTCACTGCTGGGTCCCAAGGCGGTGCGGAAGCGTGAAGCTCCGCTTTGTGCTTCGGCAAAGAAGGCTGATGGGGCCCGGAACTCTGACCTTTAACCCGGGGAAGGCCAAGAGTCACCCTCTCTCCCCTTCTTTTTGTGCTGAGTATGACTGCCTTTTAAAAGATGTAAACGCGCTACCTGGAAGAAAAAGCAATTAGGGATCACTTAATGGGTTAGATGGTTTCAGCTCCCTTTTCTAGAATTTCTAGTAGGATAGCCTCGTTTTCCGTTTCTTAGTTGTGGGAATTAAGCTGCTATTCCTTTGATTGAGATGTAGTAGGGCTTCCTGGAATGTCTAGTTTCTGCAGAGGAGCGAAGGAAGTCTCAGCTTTGCCAAGATACAGTGTCTGAAGTCTGATTTTGTGGGAACTGGAATTTAGAGTGATCCTTCTCAAGAGTTTTGTCATCATGCTGATTCAAACAGCCTTTTTGACTTTTTAAAAAGTTTAAGGGAAGTTGCTTTAAGTGTGTCGAAAACCAAACCTTTTTTTGAAATCAAAGTTGTGAGATTGTTGTACCTATTTAAAAGAAAAAATAGAGCTTGGGAATGTTAATATTAAGTTGTATCTACTTATGCTGTAGACATTTTTACTTTCAGTTTCTGTTTTGATCAGTTACGATTCACATAGCTGTTAAGTTGCTTAAAAATTTTGAGGCCAGGAAAGGCAGATGTTTTCTCTTTACTAGGTGACTTTGACAAGCTGCATTTCTTTTCAAGTATATGTTGAACTGTGTTGAAAGTTTTATATCACTTAGAACTGCTACTTCTAAAAAAAAACTTTACTGACTCAGAAGATGTATGTGAGACTTTAAAACTGACTTTTTCCTACCATCCTATAAAATGACTTTGTTGGTATTTATTTTCTAGAACATTGAAGAGAATCGTCTTTGTGTGATAAAATTTTGAGTAAGGGTGTGTATGATGAAAATTGTCCTTATCAGAAAACCTTTGTTAAGGTTTTTGTGATCATTTACTTAACATCTTTATTAACTGCTTTGTGTCACTCATTTTTGTATCTTCCTGCATGCGTGCTGAGTCGCTTCACTCGTGTCTGACTCTTTGCGACCACATGGACTGTAGCCCACCAAGCTCTTCTGTCCATGGGATTCTCCAGGCAAGAATACTGGAGTGGGTTGCCATTTCCTCCTTCATTGTATCTTCGTAAGAATGCCTAAAGTATAGTCAGCTTAGCTCATATATTTAAATGCTTGCTGTGTACAAGGCACCTATATAGTTGCTGATCATACAGCCGTGAACAAAAATCGTGATCCTTCTTCTCTCATACGGGAGACTGTCCTTTAAAAACTACTTAACAGGAGAATTCTCTGGTGGTCCAGTGGTTAGAATTCTGGGCTTTCACTGCTGAGGGTGCAGGTTGGATCCCTGGTTGGGGAACAGATCCTGCAAGCTATGAGGTATGGCCAAAAAAAACACCACTATTTACAAAAGTAACTACAGTGTAAGTCAGAAATGTGTTCATGTCATTAGAGAAGCTGAAAGCAACACTATGGGAGTTTTAATGACAGAGGTTGCATTTGATATTATAAGGGGATTATGGGAAACTTTAGAAGGAGTTGATATTTAAACTGAGTTTAGGAGTAAGAATTTAATAAACATGCACAGTAAGAGTCAATAGTTTTGAGGGAGAGAATATAAGATGAACAGAGGAGGGGCCATGGGAAAGCACAGTTCATGTTTGGGAAAATTCTAGGCTTCTGGCACATATGATACACATATGGGAATAGGGGGAGTTCAGAGAAGAACACTGGTGCTAGGTATTGGGTGGTTTTTAATTTGAAGCTGAAGGGTTTGGGTCGTATTTTGTGCCATTAATTATCATTTTAAGTTACATAGTCCTAATTGTATTTTATAGAGATTAATTGACTGGATTAGAGGAAAGAGTCAATACCAGTTAGATGGCTGGCATAGTTAGGTGAAAGGTAATGAGGGCATTGAGAATGGAAGGGAGAGTTGAGTTACTGTGGGGAGGAAATGATTTGAATTGATATGACTTGGCATATGGTTAATATGGGAAAGGGCTTCCCAGTGGCTCAGTGGTAAAGAATCTGGCAGGCCATGCAGGAGCTGGAGGTTCATCCCTTGGTCGGGAAGATCCCCTGGAGGAGGAAATGGCAATCCACTCCAGTATTCTTTCCTGGAGAATCCCACAGACTGAGAGGAGCCTGTTGGACTATAGTCCATGGGGTTGGAAGAGACTGAGCACTCATGCACTAATATGGGGAAAGGGAAGGATTGAGTCAGATCATTCAGAACTTTCTAGCCTGGGAAACTGGGACATGGGCGGTGTCTTAAAGTAGAAAATGAAGTAGGAACGGCAGCAGGTGGAGCTGATTTCGAAAGGATGACTGGATTTAAGATATATCAGATTGGAGAGTGTTAAGTGTTTGGTATTAATGGGATATCCATGTGGAAGCGCTCAGAAGACATTCAGATTAACGAGGAAAGAGGTCAAACTGGCAATAGAGATTTGGAAGTAGTTAGTGCTTAGCATAAGAGTCAGACACGACTGAGCGACTTCACTTTCACTTTTCACTTTTATGCATTGGAGAAGGAAATGGCAGCCCACTCCAGTGTTCTTGCTGGAGAATCCCAGGGATGGGAGAGCCTGGTGGGCTGCCATCTGTGGGGTCACACAGAGACGGACATGACTGAGCGACTCAGCAGCAGCAGCAGTGCTTAGCATAGATGAAATAATCCAGGAAAAGTTTGAAAAGAGGGCCAAGAGCAGAGCCCATACTAGAGAAGATATGGGAATACTTCACCAGAATGAAGTTCCTGAATTAGAGCGAAAATACTGTATTCATATTCACAGAGTAATTTGGTGACTCAGACGGTAAAGCGTCTGCTGCCTATGTTGTGGGAGATCTGGATTTGATCTCTGGGTTAGGAAGATCCTCTGGAGAAGGAAATGGCAACACACTCCAGTATTCTTGCCTGGAAAATCCCGTGGACGGAGGAGCCTGGTAGGCTACAGTCCATGGGGTCGCAAGGAGTCAGACATAACTGAGCTACTAAACTTTCACTTTCATGATCTGTGCCATTTAGTACCAACTGTATTGTGACAGAAGCAGGATAGGTGTTTTTTTTAATTTTTATTTGAGAGAAGAAAAGTTAGTAGGTGACACAACTAGAATTTAATCCCAGATCTTCTGCCCTGACTGCCCTCTCAGTGATTTTTAAAAAACTGTTCTTTAGAGTCATAAATTTCCTTTTAAATCACCTTAGGGAAAGCACCTCAGGGGAAAATGAGAGGCTGGAATGGTGAGATTCTCCTTTGAGTCCTGATAGTTAGAATCTTCCTCTCTGTAGTCAGATTGCCTGAATTCTCATTCCAGCTCTGCTGCTTATATGCTGAGTGACTTTGGGCAAATTACTCAACCTCTTTGTATCTCAATTTCCTCTTCTCTAAAATAGTATCTGCTTTAGTTACTTCGTGGGATTGTTTGAAGATTAAGTGTGTTGTCATTTCTAGGATTATAACAGTGCTAGGCATATAGTAGACATGCAGTTAACATCAACCTTTATTATCTGTTTTATGTTTGGGAGTTACACACACACATATTTCTTTTGGGGGAAAAAGTTTTTGATGAAACAAATTTGAAAACACTGCTCTTTATCATGATAGTTATATGTTATAAACTCCAGATTCCATAAACCAAGGAACACAACTATTTGCTTTTATTTGTTCAAATATTCTTAGTGTCCATCACGTGTTGAAAGCTTGTATAGCTAAGACTGTGCTGCCTCTTTTCCAAAGGAATTCCTAACAGACTGGAGCAAGGAAAGGTTGGGAATTGTTTAAGGGACAAGAGCATTCTGGCATATAATTAGTATAAGATATTGAGTAAATTAATCAGGTTAGGTCTTAGGAACCACACAGATCTATCTGTTGTTGTAATAACAATACTGATTCATAGGAATAAACAGAGAAATGTCCCTGTGGATGATTTCTACTAAAAAGAAATGTCAAATTCACATAATGGAAAGAGGATAAGAATAAATGCACGTTTTCTTAAGAATTGCCTGATAGTTTGGGGGCATGAATTTACCAAAGGGATTCCAAATTGATTCAGGCTTGAGGCAGAAAGTCACCTATTGTCATTTGATCAGTTTGAAGATACTCGGGTAGTGGGACAGAAGGGTTCTATATATAGGTTCCATTCTCTTGAAAAACTGTTAATACCAAAAAAATAGAAGATTGTTGTGGTTAAAAGAGAAGAACAACAATATGCACATCTGAGCTAGATGTCAGGGAACTTGAGTTTAATGTCTCTACGTTGTTTTTTTTTTTTCTCTGAAAATTTTAATACCTTTTTGGTTTTTTTTACTTATAGGGGCGTGAATACTTTTTCTCCTGAAGGAAGATTATTTCAAGTCGAATATGCCATTGAAGCTATCAAGGTATAATATCAAGCAGTATCAAGTGGGATAGTTTTTGAAATTTCATGTTTAATGCTTTGCTGGCAGAGCATTTGGAGTAAATGTATTTAAATAATTTCTTTAGAAAATGTTCTTTATCTCCCTTTAATCAGTCACAGTTAACCATAAAAGTATTTTAATTGAAGTATAGTTGATTTACATTGTTGGGCACAATTAACCATTTTTATAACAGATTCAGTCCCAACTATTTGAAAGCTTTTTAAACAAATAGCTGCTTCACAGTTATGTAAGTAGCTTTTTCTTAGTGGGGTTGGAAGGACATGTTGGTGTTTGTAATGTTCTTAACTATAAAGAGAGGGGTATAGAATTACTAAGTTAGCACCTGCGAGATATTTTGCCTTCTTGAACAAATTATTTAACTGATCACCCGTATTCTTGTTGGTGAATTTGTCAATTTGTACTAGATGTTTTGGGGACTGAATAAGAGATGTGTTCTGTAATCTAACAACAAAAGTGAATAGTTCAAACCAGTTTTCAAAAAATTAGTTAGAAAGTAAACTAGATACTGAAATTTAGTTATGTGGGATCTTCTCTTTGTTGGATTGTGGATAGTCTAAATCCTGATTTAAATCTAAATTAGGTCTAGGAGAATTAGGACCTAAATTAGGTCCAGGCATCAGTATTTTAAGGACTCCCTCGGTGATTCTAGTATCTAGCAAGTATTGAGAATTACTGATCTAGTCCAGCTCTTCACTGTTTCAATCACCTCTACATCCCCAAACAGGTTCTGTTTTTGTAGTTCTAGTGACAGAATATTTTCTCACTAGATAGCTCATTCTGTTTGAAAATAGATCATAATGCTTTAGAAATTTATCTTGTATTGAATCAAGAGTCTAGCTTCATGAAATTTTCTTCAGTTGGCCCTAGTTTTACCCTTGAACCATACAGGATGTTTAAACCTCTTCCGTAAGACAGTTCCTCACATATTTGAAGAGAACTGTTGTGTTTGCCTCTGAATAACCTCTTCTAAAAAGTGTATTTTGGGGAAAATGATTGTATGACAGTCTGGAAAAGGGCAAAGCAGATTCTTAGTTGAAGATGTAGAAGTAAAGGTGGAAGCATTGTAATAGATAGTGGGCAGAAAATGATGGACCAGCTACCTGAAATGTTTTTCTGTTTCCTCACAATATTGTTTTCCTGAGAGTTAATAATTCTTTTTAAAAAATTTGCCTGATTTAGTATGTAAATATCAATAATTCATCCCCAGGGTCTCCAAGTTATGTATCCTCTCAAAATACCCAGGTACATTAAGTATCCTAAGAAATATTTGAGCCTCTGACCTGCTCCGACCTGGACTGATTCTCTGGGCCTGTTGCATAGCTGTACATTTAGGATCTTCTGTTGTCATCTTCCTTTAACTCCCTCTTGCATTGTTTTATCATTTTATCCTTAAAATGTTATGACATAAATCAGGTTGCTTCTGGACTTTCTTTACTTAGCTTAGGATTTGGATTTCTCATATCTACTTTATTAAAGAATTAAGAATACTTTAATTCTTCAAGGATGAAATTTTTTTTTTCTTTAGGTTTTTTTCCCCTTGAACTAGCTAGATTCTTTAGATACATTTTTTTGAACTGCAGATCTTGAATTAGTGGGCATTGGGTTAATTTAGCAGGTAGTAGGAGCATCTCGCTTTTTAAGTGAAATGGAGCAATGGATTTCAGGATGCCTTGCCCATAGTATTGGTGATTTCTTTTCTTTTTCTCATGAAACTTTGTTTCTATTATATTTATTTCTTTGTATCTATTTGTACGTTGTGGTTGTGATGTAGAATATATTTCTTAATGTAGATTTGGATCAGAATATTTGAAAACTCCCGCTGTAGAGGAAACTAACTCTTCTCATATCATGCCTGAAGGGTATTTTTAGCTGCTCACTTCTGAGAGCAGTATAGGGGAAGAAGGCTGGGTTTTGTAACATTAAGCTTGTCGGTTTTTACTTAACCCCCTTGTCCTGACAGCAGTACTCCTGCCTTTGAACGTGCCTGGTGTCCTCCAATGTAGACACCCTCATTTTACGCTTTCCAGAGTCATCTGCAAGAGTGGGAGTGGGGGGCATACTCTAGCTTTACAGTGTGGAGTAAGGGATCTGGAAATCTGTTTCTTAAGCACACACTGAACTAATCTTCTAATTTTTAGCTGTTGCACTTCTAGTCCCAGAGGTCCTTGTTGCCATCATTCCCTTTTTGAGCACCAGTAGTGGGGTGGTCCTGTGATATAAATCAGGTTGCGTCTGTGCTTTCTTTACTTAGCTGAGGATTTGGGTTTCTTGTGTCTGCTAAGTAAAGTATCACTTCCCCACCTTCTTTCTTGAAAGTTTTGTTGTTTCTGTGGCTGTGCCTTTCTCTTTGTCCTAGTATATTTATCCTACCCATGCTTAAGCCCTTTAATCTCCTATCCCCAGGCTCGGGGAAGGAGTCGAGCTAATGTACATATTCAGTCTACACCTTTATTCAGAAGTAAGAGCATTCATTTTTTACATAGAATTCTTTGACAGTTCATTTCCTGCAGTTATGCATGTACCATGGATTAAGAAAATATACAATGAAAAGCAGATATATACAATTAGTAACACTTCTAAATAATGTCATGGCAACCCACCCCAGTATTCTTGCCTGGACAGCCCCATAGAGCCTGGCATGCTACCATCCATGGGGTCACAAAAAGTCGGACACGACTTAGTGACTCAACAGCAACAAAAAACAAGGTCATAACTTTGTACATTTGAAAAATAATACAGATATGTATGAGCTATGATCATTCAGTCTGCATATGTGTTGAAATCACGTTATGCACAATGATTCAAGAAATTAATTCGAATACTTTGTGATAACAGCCTCCAGGAATCTGATGCTCACACTGGCAGTCATTGCTTTGTAGAACTAAGTGAAAAAAATGATTACTTAGAGGAGCGAGCACATATAGTCCTGGGAGACTTTATGAATGATGGGGTGGGATTTGGATTGGAAAAGGGAAGAGAGTATTCCAGGGATGACGGCATGGCAGAGGTGCAGATGCAGGGGATGATGTGGCATGAGAAAATGGATTTGGCTGCAACTGGGGAATCTGGTTGGAGGATAATGCGTAATCAAGTTGGAAGAGAAAAGTATGATTAGGTTTTGAGAACTCTGGAAGCTTGCTTGGATTTTATGTTGTAGGCAGTATAGGGAGACATTGGTTCTTCATAGAAGAAGTATAATGAAAATAGCATATTACTGTGTCAGTCAGGCTATCCATGAACAATGCATTGGGAGAGAGATTAAAGATGGGGAGACTAAGTAGGCGGCTGTTGAAGTCATCTTGGCACATAAAACAGCTAACATCTGTTGCTAGTTTATTGTGTGCAAGTTGCCATTTTAAGTGTTTTATGTATTAGTGTGTTTACCCTTCTTGATGTATAGATATTGTTATTATTATCCCCATTTTGCAGATGTGAGATGAAAGGTGGGTGACTAGGATAGTGTGCAGCTGGAGGGATGAAATCAAGCTATATTGTAGACTGCTGGTGACCTTGAGAGAGATTTTTATGTTGTTGGTGGTGGTTCTTTTTCTTTCTTTCCTTTTTTTTAAAAATTTTTTTAAGCTAAGTACTTTTCTGGAGGTCACATAGATTTGAGGGATATTACCTTTTGGGATAATTCAAGGTAGCAGAGGTAAAAAGATACCAAGTCCAAAGGAACATTACAGTTGTATTATTTCTCATCCACTATGTTTAGGACTTTAGAACCTGCCCCTCTCCAAAAAAAATGGCACTAGAGTTGATTGTTTTCCAGACATTTTGAAGACCTTATTGAACTTCCCCTTTACAAGCACAGAATTCTGTAAATCAGTGATCTTGCCGCTGATGGGAACAGTACATTATTTATTAGGGGACTGCTGTTCTCTCTGTGTACTAGGTATGACTGATCGAAGCTTCTATCCTGTGAAGATACACAGAGAGATTTCTGGTGAGTAGGTGAGACTATTCTTTGACTTCTCTGTGATAACCATAACCTGTTTTTCTTTAGCTTGGTTCCACAGCCATCGGGATCCAGACATCAGAGGGTGTATGCCTAGCTGTGGAGAAGAGAATAACCTCTCCACTCATGGAGCCCAGCAGCATTGAGAAAATTGTAGAGATTGATGCTCACATAGGTAAGAAGTAGGGGAAGACTGTTCTGTAGGATCTTGCTGAGTTCATCAGTCTTCTTTGATTTTCCAAGGGAGGTTCATTAGGTGAACATCTTATTCCCTTGTTAGCTGTTGCTTTCCAGGCCATTGTGCATAGTATCGGTAGTAGGAAGCAGTTGTAGGATTCATCTACTCCCAGAAGTTCCTTTCTCCCTCAAATTTAGACTTGGCACTTGTGATGGTTATTGAAATATGTAAAAGTTGAATCATAGGCCAGCTCCTTATGATGACTGGCTCTTCATGGATGTATAACAATAGGAGACCACCTGGAGCAGAATTAATAGTGTAGGAAGCTTGGGGTATCCACTGAGAAAAGAGATATTCTTAAAGATCTTCAGAGTGACAGAGGTGCAGAGAGTATAAAGATAATAGATTTTGACCCAGATCACTACTCTTCCTGTGTTTTCAGATTTATCATTTTATTCTATCTCCCCCTGCCTTCCCTTCCTCCCCTTTTGGGTCTCTGATAAATACCCCTCCTGTAGCTTCTGGCATCATTGTAACATAAGGAGTAGTTCTACTTATTTATAGCATGGTATTTTAGTTGACTGCCCACATTTTCTTAACCTATCTAGTCATCCAATTAATGAAACATTGATAAAATAATTAATTGCTTGAAGACATCAGAACCAAATGCCATGGTGACAAAGGAAGCTTGACACTATCTCTCTCATAGATACAGAAACTGAGATTTAGTCTTTAAGGATTAGAACATTGTGTCTATCTCAAGCCATCTCATCTACTTTTTGGAGGTAGGTCAGGGTCACTTCATTCAACAGACTGACAATCTACTATGTGCCAGACTTTGTGCTAAACACGTGGGACACAGAAAAGAGAGAGAGACATAGACATAAGTCCTTTGTGTTCTAGGAGCATGCAGTTTAATCACAGAGATAAACATGTAAGTAAGTCAATGCAATTAAATGATGTAGGTATTAAGACTGTGGCATATGCTCAATAGAAGAATAATTAGGGAAATACTTAGTTTTGCCTGGGGCCTGTGGTAGTGAGGCTTTCAGAACATAATTCCATAAAGGTGACGCTTGAGCCGAGCTGAATCCCAAAGGATAAGGAGGTATTTACAAAGCTAGTAAGTGTCTGGGTGTAGCAGGGGAGAGCTTTGTGATCAGAGGGTACAGAAAAGAGCAAACCTGTGATGGTGTAAAATATAAAATGCCCTGGCACCGGCAGTTTGGGGTGTCTGGGAGGTGTAACGTGGTAAGAGATGAGTCTGGGATCCAAGAGTAAAGTCCTTTTTACAATACAAAAGAGTTTAAACTTGATCCTTTTGCATTGACATCAAGGATTGTATGCATTAAGGGGGTATGATGAGATTAGAACTTTAGAAAAACTGTTCTGACAGTGGTGTTGAAGGCAGAGTGAACGGGACTGAAACTGAAGGCAGGGAGACCCGGTCTGAAAAATTCTTAACAGTCTAAATAGATGAGGAGGGCTTTAGCCAAGGAAGTGGCCAGACATTGGCGAGGTAAGGGTTAATACCAGACAGGCTAATCAGATAGTGATTGATAGAATTTGGGATTTTTGATTGGTTATGAGGCCCAGGGAAGAAGATGAAGTCAAGAAGGGAAATGAGTTGAATCTGTGGTCTCTCCATGCAGATATATTAAGGGAGTCATTTGGCTTTATAGGTCTGAACTGTGGGAGTGAGACTTAGGCTGGAAATTTGGATTTGAGTCATGACATGTTAAGTAATAGCCATAATCTCGGCTTCCTGGGCCATCTCTACTATAACTAGTTGGTGTTTGGCCAGGAAGTGAGAAGATTTTTTATTTTACTTTAGGGTGTTCCACTGTAGCTCATAGTGAGATAGTTATTTTTAAAAATTTTTTCCTTATTTTTCCTATTGGAGTGTTAGTGCTTGCATGGGCTAAAAAGAGTGATAAAGGAATGTTTGAGTATGTAAATATGAAAATTCATGTTTGATTAGCTGTCCTTCTCTGTCTCCTCTCTTAATAGCTGGACTTCTGTGTCACTGTGGATAGTTTTTGTTAGTGATATAATTATACTTGTGTTTAGTGCAGATACTTCCTCATTTAATTTTGTGGGTATAGTGCTATGGGATTGCTGGTTGGCTGCCATGGTTTCACTCCAAAATTTCAGTATTTCCTGAGTGGAAGAAAAAGTTCTACAAGGATTCGGCTTACTGGGTCACTGTTGCTTTTACATTGCAGGTTGTGCCATGAGTGGGCTAATTGCTGACGCTAAGACTTTAATTGATAAAGCCAGAGTGGAGACACAGGTAAAATCAGCATTAACTCTCCTTTTTACCATGATGCTTCGGTTCCTTGTTGCGTGATGATACATTGCCTGGGCTATACTGCAGCTATCTGTGTTAATACCTGATGTAGCTCTTGGGAGTGATTTTGAGCAGAACCCCTGGTTGTAACTTTCTGAGGCCTGGAGTCTAGCCATCCAACCATTACGGCTCTAAGGAAGCCCTGGTAAATAGTGCTGACAGTCTCTTGCTTTTTCTTGATTTGCTTTATGTAAAGTAGGCATTGCACTGCATTCTGTTCCCTAATTGACTTTCTGTGAGAGCACCATAGCAGGAGGTAGAGGTAGCTAAAGGAGTTTTGCCCCACCTGCCCTTTGCTGCTAGGCTTGCAAATGACAGCTCTCCTGTGGTGAGTAATGATATGTACCAGGTGATACATGCTGCTTAGGAATACTGATTTTTTGTTTTTTTAACTGAGCTCTTGCTGCGTGCAGAGTAGACTGGTCAGAAAAAAAAATACCTGACTGGTAAAAATTCTTTGTGCTTATTTGCAAGTTTGCTGTCAGTAGTTACGTAAGAATAAGACATTGAGTTTAAACTCCAGCAGAATAATAAAATAGAATCTTTGAGGGAAAGTGGCACTCAGCTATTAACTTTCACTTTGTGAAGAGACTAACTTTGGTTCCCTGAGGGGTTAGCTCTTTTTCAGGGGAGCGATCCTCTAGCCATCGTTGCCCAGAGTCCTTTTGGTATAACTTTATTTCCAGAGCTATTCCTCCTCCTCTCATGCAGTCCAAAACATTTGAGTTTAGTGTTAAGGAGAACACACCCGAGCTTGAGCCTTCAGTTTTCAACCACAGTTCAAAGGGATGTGTGTAGTGAGGTGGTGGGCTACTTCTAATGCCCTTCTTGTTAAAAGGTAGACCACGCATTGCTCTTCTTCTAGAACCATTGGTTCACCTACAATGAGACCATGACTGTGGAGAGTGTGACTCAGGCTGTGTCGAATCTGGCGCTCCAGTTTGGAGAAGAAGACGCAGACCCAGGTGCCATGGTGAGTGTGGTGACTGTGCCAAGCTGTCTTGCTGTGCTGTGGGACTTAGGATGTCTGTCCTCAGAGCATGTCTTTCCCTGGTCTCCTTGCCCTCTTACTTCACTGCTGTTCACCTTAATATCTTCTGATTTGTGGTTCTAGTCCCGTCCCTTTGGAGTAGCACTGTTATTTGGAGGAGTTGATGAGAAAGGACCCCAACTGTAAGTACCATTTTATCATTTTTCTCCTGATTCCTTTTCGGGAGACTTTTTTATCATTTTGGGTGGGATTGGTTGTTTATCAATTGAAAAAGATTATTATAGAGTTGTAAAAACGAAGGGCTTCTAATTCTATAAAGTTGAGTGATTCTGGGCTGCTTACACAAAGACAAATTTGGGGATTTTATGAAGAGCACCCCTATTGGAACCAGTGCTACTTCTGGAAAGAAAGGAGAAGTAACTTTGTTACTATAGTCAAGATATGTTTTAGAGCCTTGCTTTGGAATATTGATTTGATCCTTATCCTCAAATGGTATTTGGATAGTCATACATAAGTATCATATTTATATATACTGTATGTATAAAGTATATTTATATGTACTTCTCTAAATCCCACAGGAAATTATTTGTTTTCTTAAACACTTTTTAAAAGATCTGATTTCTCCAGCCATGGAACATCTTTTGGATGTATGCCTTGGTATTTCCTGGCTGCAGGGCCAAGTATTTGTATTTTTTTAGAGAGATGTTTGTAATGGAAAATATCACCATTCTTAAGCATTTAAATCCTCTTCTTTTTGATGGTTTTGCAGGTTTCACATGGACCCATCTGGAACCTTTGTACAGTGTGATGCTCGAGCAATTGGCTCTGCCTCAGAGGGTGCCCAGAGCTCCTTGCAAGAAGTTTACCACAAGGTAATTAAGCATTCTCATGCCTTTATTATTATTTTTAAAATCAGGGTAGAATTTACATACAATAAAATGTACAGACCTAAGAGTTCAGTTCTATGGATTTTGATGATTAAGTGGTAATCACCACTTAAAATGCAGAACACTTCTATCATCCCATCCCAAAATGCTTGCCTCCTCTCCAGTCAGTCTCTCCCTCCCTTTCAGCCACATTTGCCATTGTAGATTAGTTTTGTCTGGCCTTTTTATAAATCCAGCCATACAGTTTGTACTTTTGTGTCTGCGTTTTGTTCAACATACTATTTTTGAGATATGTTCATGTTCTTGAACATTTCAATAGTTTCTTTTTATTGATGAGTGATACACCATGGTATAGATATACCACAATTTGCTTATCCTTTATCTTCACAGCTTCACTTAGCATTTTATATTGACTAGTCTGGGTCTTCAAGCAAGTGGGCTTTTTACCTTTGTGGGATGGGAAGATTTGGTTTTGGGTGACTCATTGTAGTGGCTGAAGACTGCCATACTTGTCATTCAGATGGTTCATACAGGGATGTCTGCTTATAACAACCCTTCATAGTGTTGCTTTTACATGTGCAGGAAATTAAGTATAAAATGGGGGAAGAAAAGAGCAGATTTTCTAAACCATTGGGTTACCTTCTAGATCATTTGGGAATTATTCATAGGATATCATCAATATTTTCTTATTTTTAAATTAAAAGACAAGAACTGGAGAAGTTTAACTCTTTCTCCTTCAAAGATCACTTACTGTTTTAAAGTTGGGGACTTTGTTCTGGTTCAAAATAAGGCTTTTTTTTTTTCCTCTGAATAACTGTACTCTGCTTATATACCACTTACTTGAATTCTACAAGTAATGCACTGTACTTACTAAGATGTTTGATTTATCAATATTTGCTGAATCATTTCTTCAGAAAGTTGGGGGTTACAAGGGGGATATGTATAGGAAAGAAGAGTTATGTACAATTAATGGCTCCTCTTCCACCCTGTTTGTTTCAAGTCTATGACACTGAAAGAAGCCATCAAATCTTCACTCATAATCCTCAAACAAGTAATGGAGGAGAAGCTGAATGCAACTAACATAGAGGTACTTTTTTGTTTTATTGATTTTTATTCAGATATCATAGCTCTCATTGCTAAAGATTAAATAGATCAAAATAGTCACATTTTTATATGCTCAGTTCTTAAGAAATTATTGGTTTCCTTTGAGTAAGCAATTCTAGTAAAGTAGTGATGGCAGAAGCCAAAGTTTGATGAGTTAAAGAAGAAAAGGGAGTGATGCAGAGGACAAAACAAGAACATGCTGCCTTCTCAAGAAGAAATTAATGTCAGCAGCAGCGAGCAGCATTCAAGAAAAAGATTTTTGTCTTTTTAAGAATATGGAAAGACTAGAAAATACTTTTATAGTCTGGAAAGAAGCAAGAGAATAGAAAAAATATTAAAAGAATTTAAAGCAGAAGTTAGTAATGGAAAATTTCTCGAGAGAAGACATGGGACAGATGAAGGAGTTCATTTTAGAAAGTAGAATTGATTCAGCATTATATAGAATACCCGTTATATGCCAGGTACTATGTATCAGTAGATGCCAGGGATACAGATACAGAAAGTCCAGTTCCAATTTAAGTGTTAATAGTATACTGTGTGGTATAGAGGACGTACAGATAGTTACAGCTTGGGTTGATACTTCTGTAATAGCAATAAGAATGGATTGACACGGGAACATATAACTTACACTGGGACATTAAGAAAGGTTACTGAAAGAAGTGATGTTTGGAAAAGGGAGAAGAGAATGGTATTCTGGAAAAGGAAATAGCACATGTAAAACATCATCAGGCATCAAAGGGAACCTTGAGGATTTTGTCTTATTGTTGGAATGTGAGATGTATGTAAGATGGGGAGATGATAAGAGACAACACTGGAGAGACTTGGACTAGATTAGGAATGCCCTAATTTAGCATCCTAAGAGTAAACAGGAAGAAAGGAAGTAATGATAAGGTAAATTCGGAAATGAATTGGGAGAGAGGGATTATATTTCCCTGGTGATTGTTAGATCACCTTCTGAGGGTGGGTGAATGCAACAATGAAATTAAGAAGAATGGGAAATATTTGGGAAAGTGTTTTCAATGAGGAAGAGAGAAGACAGGGAGGAGTAAAAGGATTGCTGAATCACATTAAAATACTAGCTAAGGCTGGAATCACAGATTGTTGTAAAAAGTCAGGATAGTGGTTACCCTTGGAGGCGTGGTGTGTACGTATGTTTTAATTCAGAAAAACTTTTAAAGGCCAACTGAGGCTGGAATCACAAATCAGTAATTAAACTAGTCAGCACTTAACCAGGATTCTTTTCAGCTGTACTCTTCATGGACTGAGAAAATGTATATTTGAATTAAACCTCTGAAGGAGGATTGACCGCTTATGGGCAGAAGAATGGAGAGCATTGTTATCAGTCTGTCACCAGTAGAACCAGGTTCTGCGGCCGCAGGGAAAGGGGCAAAATTGGATGCCAGAACAAGGGGCTGGTCTAAAGGTGGGACGATCTGAGAAGAGCTGGGATGTGGGGGTTGGGGGGCATTTGGTTTGCTTGGATTCTTTACCACTGAGCCACCTGGGAAGCCCCTTATTTTCTCTAGAGAAATATCTGTTCAAGTCCTTTGCCCATTTTTAATGTAGGTTATTTGGTTTTTTATTGTTGAGTTATAGGCTCAGTGGGATATTCTTGATTCTGAAATGCATAATGCAGTTAATAATAATTTATAAAAGTTCCTCCCAGCTTAAATTTGGATTGACATCCCCTTGAAAACTTTATCTTGGTTATTCCTTTGTCTTTCTCTTCCCATCACCAATTTTCAACCAAACCTATTAGAACAGGTATTTGTCCTCAGTTTCTCAAGTATGTTTATACCTTGTTGTTCAGTCATTAAGCCACGTCTGACTCTTCGTGGACTACAGCACGCCAGGCTTCCCTGTCCATCACTATCTCCAGAGTTTGCTCAAACTCGTGTTCCTTGAGACGGTGATGCTATCCAACCATCTCATCCTCTGTTACCTGCTTCTCCTCCTGCCCTCAATCTTTCACAGCATCAGGGTCTTTTCCAATGAATCTTTCTTTAGGAAAAAAAAAAATTAAACTCACCTTTGTCAGCCTCTCTCTCTACCTAGTATCCTTTTTGAAAGATCAACTTTGTTGAGGTATACTGTACATGCTATAATGGGGACCTATTTTAAGTTTACAGTTCAGTGAATTTTGACAAATGAATTACCCTTGTGTCTACCACCACAATCAAGATAGAGAACATTTCTGTCATCCCCCAAAGTTCCTTTATGCCCCCTTTTAGTTACTGATCTGCTTTTTGTCACTGTAGGTTTGTTGTGTATCTTCTAGAATTTCTTATGAATGGATTACAGTGTGTATTCTTTCTGTGTCTCACTGGTTTCACTTAGCTTCATAATTTTGAGGTTCAAGAGCCTGTTACATTTTACTGCTATTAATCATCTTTTTTAACCTTTAATTGCTAGATGATGATTCTGTATTCATTGTCCTTACTGCCTCACCTCTCATTTCTTCCTCAATCACTGCCATTGGTTTCTGTTATTTTTGAGACTGCCCGTTGCTAACATACTCCTCTTTATCAGATTTCATGGTCATTTTTAAGACTTACTATATGACTTTTTCTGAAGCAGACACCTCAAATTTTTGACACTTCTAAAACTTGTTGTTTTTCCTGAAAACCATTTCCTCTTCTCATATTTCTAACCCTGGTTGATGACACCTCTGGTGTACCTGTCATTCACAACAGAAACCTTGAAGACACTGACCTCCCTTTGTCTTCACTGATTTGTGCCTTTGCCTCCTTAAATAACTCTCATATCAGTACCTCTTCTTCATCCCTTCTCCCAGGGCCTTCTCTTGTTTGGTCTCTCATTTGTCTGCTGCCTTGTATATGCTCAGAGATTTCCTAACCAGTCTTCCTGCCTGTAGCCTTGCCCTCCTCATTTCCATTTCCCCTGCTACTTCATTGTGCTGCTACTGAAGTGGATTTTCTGAATTGTGTAGCTAATCTCGATTGTTCTCCACTTTTAAAGTCTTTTTTAGGGGGCTTCCCGGGTGGCTTAATGGTAAAGAATCCATCTGCCAATGAGGAAGATGCAGAAGACACTGGTTTGATCCCTCAGTTGGGAAGATACCCTGGAGGAGGAAATGGCAACTCAATCCAGTATTCTTGCCTGAAAAATCTCATGGAGAGGAGCCTGAGGGTTACAGTCCATAGGGTCACAGACGAGTTAGACATGACTGAGCACAGCACACATGTATGGGCAGCCAGCTGCTAAAAAAATCTTTTGTGACTCTTATTGTCTGCAAGATAAATTCCAAACTTCTTTTCCTGTCACAATAATTCACTACCTCTTAAGGCATATTTTAACCTGTTAGGTTAATTTTACCTGAAATTATCATTACATGCAATTAAAAATTGCTAATTTTACATGCAGGAGATGCAAGAGATACAGGTTCGATCCCTGGGTCAGGAAGATCCCCTGGAGAAGGGAATGGCAACCCACTCCAGTATGCTTGCCTGTAAATTTCCATGGATAGAGGAGCATGGCAGGCTGCAGTCCATGGGGTCACAAAGAATCGGACGTAACTGAGCATACGTCAGAAGGTTAAATAGCAAGTGTGCTGGAACCAGAGCTTCCTGGGTGGCTTGGTGGTAAAGAATCTGCATGCCAGTGCAGGAGATGCAGTTCAATCCCTGGGACAGGAGGATCCTCTGAAGGAAGAAGTGGATACCCACTCCATTATTCTTGCTGGGATCATCCCATGGACAGATGAGCCTGGCGGGCTACAGCCCATAGGATTGCAAAGAGTCAGACATGACTGAGCACACATGCACAAGCAAAGGAAAAAAAAAAACAACTTTACATGCAATTATCTTTAAATCCTCACAGTAGCCCTATGGGTTAGGTGTTCCTATTTCCATTTTACAGAGGAGGAAACTGAGTCTTTGAGAAGGTAGGACCTTGCCCAGAGTAATAGCATTGGTAGATGGTGGGGTCAAGGTTTGAAACCAGGCCTTATTTGGGAATGTGTACTTTTAACCACTTGAATACACTGTGTCTCTGTGAGCTCTCACTCCTAGTACCTCTCCATTTTGTCTCATCTCATATGCAACCTCTGCTCTAGCCTTTCAGAATTGCTTTCAATTTTGCAAATACATCATCTTGTTTCATGCTCATGTATTTGCATATTCAGCCTGCCCTCTGCTACTTAAGATTGCTGCCCCTGAATCCTTCCTGGACTCTCTAGATTACTCCTTTGTCCCTTTCTCTCTGTGCCAGGCTCTGTGACAACCCTTATCTGACATTAAAAGCATTTGGCCTCTATAACCCTTAGTGACAGACTTTATCTTTGGATCTCTAGTGCCTTGTACAACCATAACTTCTACACAGGTGCTTAGCAGTTAATTATTGATCACATCACTAAAAGAAAATAACTTTTACCTGCCTCACAGAGGTTTTTTGAAAGTGAGATGAATAGAAAAGCAGCTTTCATATTCATTATGTAAATAAATGTATCATTATGTAAATGCAAGGGTTTATTTTTACTCATCTGGTGCCTTCCTGAAGGCAGTATTTGGTTTAAGTCCTATTAGTATTGATTTGCAGCCTGGTTTTACAGGACTATTCTAATTCAGGATTACCCAGTTTCTGGTTTTTAGTCCCTGTAATGGTTTAGGAGGACTAGCTTGTGAGCCATCGGTGACTTGACAAAAAACTCTCTAGCCCCTCAATCTTCCTCTGGTTTACTGACTTTGTATCTCTCTGTCCTCATGTCCTTAAGGGAAGTGTTTATATATTTTAATTTCCTTGAAATAGAACTTATGGTCTATATGGACATCAGTAAATTATTTGACATATATTTTACAAATGTGTTTGGGACTCTTCTGACATTTCAGGTAGTTGGATAGATCTTTTAGGAGAATCTAGTGGAGACTGCAGGGTTTTTTTAGTCTGTCCCTAGAGTAGATCTTCAGGTGTTTTGAGATGTGCAGCCTTAGTCTTTTTCTAAATTTTACCTGTAGTTGAGGCAGAGTTCCATGTTCCTATCATGGAACTGGCTGGGCTGATTTTGGCAGTTTTCAAATTATACTAAATACCAGTAGTGAATATTACTCAAAAAATGCCCTACTATGTTTAATTTTAAAGTTAAAAAATAAAATCTAATGAAATGACATCTCAAACAAACACAAAAGCTGAAGGCAAAAATGTAGTTGTCCCTGTCCCTCAGTATTGCCCTGGAACATGGGACTGTGTTTTCAGCAGAGATGATGGGAAACCTGGGGATTTGGTTAAATTTGAAACTCACCGTCTTCTGCCTCTGGTCTTATATTGCTTAAATATGTTGTAACCTGGACTGCTGGATTTTACAAATACCTTGAGTCACAGCTGATTTCCTATTGTCAGTGTTAATGAGATCTTTTCATGGCCAGTCCTTTTAAAACACAAAACAAACCTTTTTCTTACTAAGTTAGCATATAGACAGTTTTATAGAAAATAGCACCCAACAATAATAGTTAAACTAAGTGGTGCTTATTATAATGTTTTAAGCACTGGTCTAAGCATTTTACATGGATTGACATGTAGTCAGACACGACTTGGCAACTGAAAAACAGCAGTAACCATATGAGTTAGGTGCTATTCTTATTATTATCTCCATTATACCGATATAAATTGAGGTACAGGGTGTCCAAGTATCCCAGGGTCACACACAAGCTCAATTTGCAAGTGTGTGAATATGCTTGTCTATTTCAGAATCTAACCTGTCTAAAGAAATCTTCAACAGAAAAACGTTCTGACCCCAATTTACTGCTGCTTTTGTGATCCTTGTTGAAGTAATCTCAAGAAGTGACAATGACGCCAGGCATTTGGTTAACTATTATGTGGTTGGTTAACCTCAAAATAGAAAATTTGGTCAATAAGAGTTTTTATTTTGGAGTCAGAGAGCTATTTTAGGGACCTGCTGCTGGAAAGGCTATCCCTGGGACAGCAGATCCCTTAGTTCCTAATGAACAGCTGCATCACCAACAACTCCTGACCAGGCGAGGACTAAAGCAAGGTAATCGAGCCCGGTTTATTAACCCTTCTCTGTTTTCTTTCTAGCTAGCCACAGTGCAGCCTGGCCAGAATTTCCACATGTTCACAAAGGAAGAACTTGAAGAGGTTATCAAGGACATTTAAGGACGTGTGATCCGTAGAATTTCTTGGGGACAATTTCACTTCTTCTAGTTGCCCTTAACTTTATTTCCATCTCCAGTTCCTTGGGAAATCTCCAGTGTATGTGCATTTTTTTATGATGTCTGTACATAAAGGCAGTTCTGAAATAAAGAAAAATTTTAAATGTTTGTTAATAGACTATTCTCTTCTAATGCAGTCTTGTGTATAAAATGTTTATATTAGAGGCAAAAAGGATAGTGGTATTAACAGCCGTATCCTACCAGAGTATTCTAAAATTGTTTTAGTGGCTCTCTACAACAGAATCAAATTATCAATTCCTTGGTGTTGACAGATGAACTTCCAACTGGTCCAACTCCTTCTCATGTGTAATAGATACTAATACCACTGTGAACCCATTTCAGTTCTGTAGTTTTTCTTGAGTAAATGGGTATTTTTGCTGCTTTCCTATATGAAGAAGATGCTACTAACTGACCATCAAAAAGAACATGTTTTGAGGTCCTCCCCAAAACACTGATGGCTTGGAATAAGCCAGCTACAATGTCGTACTAGTTCTTGTGCCTTAATAGATAATTCGGAATGAGATTTTTTTTAATGAAGTCAATCACTATAAAAGAAATGAATTCACAATCTTGGTCTCGCTGGCAATCAAAAATGGATTAAATTCAGAAGGAGTTTACATTAGACTTTGAATTATACTATGAATTTCCCCCATTAGAGCTGCCATTATATGACTGGTTGAGATTATTTAAAGATTCAATCTATTGGAGCCTAAAAAATGGCTGTGTGAAGTAGGTATCTTTACTTATGACATCATACTTAACAGATGAAGAATCTAAGGATGTGTGACCATAGGCACAAAAAATTAAGCTCTTGGAACTTGAACACAGATTTTTCTGGTTTTAAATTATCAGCTCTTAATTTTTAAAGTGCCAGGTATGAGAAGCCAAGATACCTGGAAACCTCAATGAGATTTGAGAATATATTATCCACAACATGACTAATCCATATGTGAATAATGCATAATTGATTGTGTATTATTTTCATTAATATTTCTAGGAAATTTTACTCTATTGACTTAAAATTCTGATTATTTGAATAGGCTGAATTCATATTAAATTCATACCTTTTTCCAGCAAAAAACATGTCCTTATATACATTTGGAAACTGCAAGGATGGGAAACATTTGGGAAACAAGCTTTGCTTGAGACATACACAGGTAAAGAAAAGAGGGAACTAGAGGTATATTGTCACCAGTGTTCTGGAAACAGTTCTAGTGATATATTAAATATAGCATAATCATGAGATTAGTTTCTCTCACATTCACTTCTTAAATCCTAATAGGAAATGCCATTGAAAAATCATCTCAACTAATATTTGTTCAGATTTAGCAAATTTGAGTACTAAAAATATAGTAAGGTATTAGGCATTGGAGATAGAGCTGTGGTGTAGGTATGGTCTGTGTTCCCATGAAGCTTCTAGTAGGGAGAACTAAACAATAAATACCCATTTTAACTCAGTGTAGATTAATGCAGCAATGGGCTAAACATGCTTTAGGGAGAGGTGAAGTTGTGTCTTGGAATCATGTATATTATGTAGGGAAGAAAAAAGTACTAAGGAATAAAGTAGCTCTCAGTTTCAGCTTGCACTGTACAGGTGAAACAATATTCATTCCCTCTGTAATTCCAATTACAGAATTACTGAAAGAGATCGACTGTAGTTTTCTGCAGACTTTTAAAATTTCCTTTAAGGTTTTTTGTCTCTGTTTAAATAAGAGACATAATCTTATTAACAAAAACAATGGTTGTGTGATGTGTACCTGCTTTCAATTCATCTTTCTGCTATAGGATTTATCTTGGAGAACAGTATGGTTTTAGTAATAGGATAAATTTACATATTTTAGTCTTGCAAGTAAGGTAAGATCTTAGGTGTGGTATTTCACAAAGGAGATCTGACAGTGCAACTTTTGTATTTAGTGCCTGTGTCATTAGACAAAAGTGAAATACTGAAATAATTCATTCACTCAAACACTGAGTGCCATATGCCAGGTACCATGTCCCCAGCAGCCAGTACAGTTTGAAGAAGGCAACATATTCTGTAAGCATATAATGAAAACTAAAGCAATATATTAAGTAACTGCAACAATATGAGTTAAATAGTGGGGTATTTAGTAATTTCTCCAGGAGATGGCACTGTTGAGTTGGCTTTTTTCTTTTCAGACAGTAAGACAATAGACCATTCATGTATTGGCCCAAACAAAGAAATATTCCTGTATAGCCTGTCTTCTCTCTCCAGCTAATCACATGCTACTGGAACTGACTGTCTTGTGATCTACTCCCCACTTGGCGTAGATTAAAAAATAATCTGTATTTTAAAAATCTGACACATTGTAGTTGATGGAAAAGAACAAATTGTTCACCAGTTTTCATGGAGCTTTATCTTGTCAGTTCAGTAGCTGATAACTTGGAAGACTATTCCAGTGATTTTACCTTTCAAAATTATGTTTTCACTTGTCACACCTTACTATGGTTGTTCTGGCAAAATCTAAATTTGTAAACATTAAAACAGTAAATTTTTGTTTGCAAATTAATGTGACTAGAGGATTTTAATGTAACACTTGGGTTGGGGGCACTGAACCATTCATTTTGCTCTACAATAAATATATTATCATTTGGGTTTACCTGCAGTAAGTGTTAAAAGTAATTTTTAGTGACTTTATTTGGGTGTAATATTTTGTATATTTTGTGTCTATTTGTTCCCTATTTTACAGAACAACTTCTGGCATTCTGAAGGGATGAAGTCAGTAAGGAGAAAATCCAGAACTGGTTTTACCTGCACTGCTTGTTCCAGAATAAAGTTATGTGTGCAGTTTCTGCGATAAAGGCAACACTTAAGGATTTTGTTTTATTTATTGGAGGCAGGATGCTAAATTAGGGGATATCATATATTGAAAATCAAACTTGTGCCTTGCACTCACTGCAGGGTTAAAGTACTTTGATAAAGATAAATGTGCATTTACGCAATAATGTCTAAAGTAGGCACTGGGCAATTATATTGCACCCTTTTACCTGCATTGCACCGTTTTACTTGGCCCTAACGTCTAAGCTACTTTCTAACCCCAGGAAAACCAATAAGCAATTCCTGTTTTGGCCTAACTCCCTGCCTAAAAGAAAGGTGAGTGAGAAGAGATTTCACCAGGCTTGCGTGAGTCACGGATGTCCTGATGTCTGTATGCCTCACAAGATTCAGCCCACACAATTCGCTTTCACTTCTGTCAGCAAGGCGGCTGCTGCAGTAGACAATGGGCGCTCCAAAGTGCGGGGGTTAAAAACCAGACGCACCGGTTCATGAAGGAGCCCCCTTTTCCAGATGAGCGAGCTCAGGGATTCCCTGAGAAAATTTTCCAGGCGCTGCCGCAACCCAAGGGAATTTTAGGGGTGTCTCTGGCGGAGAAGAGGGGACCAACCCAGCCCAAGTTGAGAGTGCCAAAGAGAGTAGTGGGGGGTCGGGGCGCCACAGAGCCGGGGGTACTCTTGTGAAAGAGGAAAGCGCCTCTCAACTCTGGAAGCCGGGCCTTGGAGACGCGGGGAGAGCTGGGGATGACCTCAACCGTCTCTGCCACGTTCCAGCCAATCAGTCCCGCATCTTGGCATCCGAATCCAGGACCCCCGAAGCCGGAGGCGACGCGAGCCAATGAGCAGTGGGCCGGGGAAGAAGGACAAGCGGCCAGCCTATGGGGGCAGAGAGGCCCGGCTCCGCGTATCCAAGGAGCGCCGGGCTCGGGCTCGGGGGTGTGGCGCGCCGCCGGCGGGGGTGGGCGGGAGCGCCCGGCTGCAGGTGTCCGCGGCGTAGGCATTCGGCGGCGATGGAGCGGCCCGGGGGAGCTGCGGACAGCCTCTCGCGCTGGCCCCACGGCCTCGGCCTTCTCCTCTTCCTCCTCCAGCTGCTGCCGCCGGCGACCCTCGGCCAGGACCGGCTGGACGCGCCGCCGCCGCCCGCTGCGCCGCTGTCGCGCTGGTCCGGCCCCGTCGGGGTGAGCTGGGGGCTGCGCGCGGCCGCGCCCGGGGGCCCGGCTCCCCGCGGCGGCCGTTGGCGCCGCAGCGCGCCCGGCGAGGACGAAGACTGCGGCGGGGTCCAGGACTTCGTGAGCAGGCTGGCTAACAACACACACCAGGTGAGCGGGCGCCAGGTCCGGCCACCTCCCGGACTGCGAGATACCGGCCCTCGTACCCCCGGAGGCCCGCCCGCCAGGCCCGCGCAACCGGCCCCTCTTTCTCTGTCCGCGCGCCTCGCGTCCCCGAGGAAGAGACCCCCGGCCGCGCGGCGCGGGCCGCGGCCCCGAAACTGCGGCGGCAGGAGGGCCGAGTCGGGCTGGGGGAGCGACTCTCGGTTGTCGCGGCCCAAGCGGCTGTGTTTCGTCACAGGGGAGGCCGGCTTAGACTTTCACAGAATTCTTTTTTTTTTTTTTTAAGTTGTCAAAATCTGTTGAGCGTTGTTGTTTTCTGTCTGTATGAATAATTAGGATCGAGTAACGCTATCCCCAACCAGGAAGCTGCAGGAGTTAATTACCTCTTAAGTGGTTGGAGAAGTTGGGGCTGCGCAGACGCAAAGGTGTGTCTTCGTGGGGTCAGAACTTTCAGGGTCGGTCGCGGGTGTTCAGAAGTACCAAAGCAGTAATTAGGTTTCTGTGTGTATTTTAATAGCTAAAGGAACAAGGTTGTCTGTGGGATTACAGTATGTGATCTGTCTTACGCCTTCAATTTGGTCTTCTGTCTTGGTGTTGGACTCTAACCAGGATGTCTCCATACTGTTAGAACAATGATTTTCGGCGGTGAAGAAACACTGCAGAGATTCTCCTTTGAGCCAGGTCTTAGACGAAAACTTTAGAAATTGTGACAGTTCTGTCTCTGGGGGCAAGCAGCTCAACCTTTGCACACTACTGGATTGACAGTAGTCAGTGCCCTGGCTACTTGCTCTAGTGCAACCTGGGCATCTTCCTCGTATTT